GAGTTACTTGTAAGTTGTAATAAGTTACAAAAAATTGGTGTTGCTCAAATAATTTTAGGTGACCAACCCCTCATAATACTGTTATACCCATCTATAAAATCACCTATTTTTTCATCTATCAAAACTCTCCCAGCCATATTTAAGGTGTTGTCCGAGCAATACTTGGACTATATGTTACATGCTACTGCTTACAAGCTTATAATGTGCTTACATTATGTAAGTTTATAGTGCTATAACTGCAACTTTTCGAAAAAAAATGGTTTCTATAGAAAATTATCATGCTTGACCTCCCTGCATAAAGTTTGTTTCGATCTTAGGTTAACGACAAACAAGAAACAATACCAATAATATAAATAAAATGGGTAACTAATTTGAATTTTATTTTTATGATTTAGAGGAGGGAAAGAAAGATGAAAAACAATAGATACAAATTATTAGATGATAAAAGTTTTATTAATATCTTTATTTTCATACTAATTATCATTAAGTCTTAACAGTTTTTAAGATTTTTTTGTAATTCAATAGCATTTAGCTACATACTACTGTACTGTTTACATAATTCAATAAAAAAAAAATTAATTTTTAGTTCATGCATATTGGTTTAGGTATTGTTGAATACGATCATCATCACAATGTTGAACATTAATAACATGGTAGGAACTAGGTAGTATTGTATAAAACACTGCATATCTATTTAAAGCTTACAATAAATTAAGTATTAACTAAAATATATTTAGTTGGTAATCGATTTACTGTACACTGGTCAAATAGTATAAAAATTAGTAGGTATGCATTATTAATCGTTAATAATTAAATTTATCGTGTTAACTCAATAAAATTGTCTATTTATAAATCATTTAATCCACAATCATGATTATGCGGTGCATGACATTGATAAAAATGGTAAGTTTATTGCATATTATAACAATTATATTTAAATTCTAACTTTTTGATGAAACAAGTTATTTTAATTGACATTCATTGTAGCCTAAACTTTGAAAATATCAACTATGTAATTATTGTGATTATATGTGTAACTGTATTTACAACTGCATGTGGACATTTGGTATAACTTAATGCCATTTTTCAAGAGTGAACATAGAAGTTGAAGTTAGATGACGATTTTGTTCATTACTCGTAAACCACCATGTGGAAACCGTTTTTTCAGCAGAAGTTTTTTCAAACAGAATAATGCACGCGTACACCAGTTACTGTAACTTGCTAACTGAAATTGAAAAAAAAACAACAATATTAAATAAATTATTTTGAAAATTGTATTAATTTAATGGCTCAATGTCATATTAAAAATCAATTTAAAAATATAGTAACCAATCAACATTATTCATAGTCCCAACACATAGTTTGTTCCATTATATGTTTGCATTATTGATATAGCAAACATCCTTGTGTTATAGTTGTGAACATAAAGCATATACTAGTATATAACATATTATTTATTATTATCTATGAATAAATAACAATATAAACCTTTTAGCTTAAGCAATACTTATTCTTAGGCATCTACTATCGATACAGGCCTAAACAATTACAAAATCTCAGGTGGTAAATCCACATCTGACTGCAACTTTGTAACATCGTTTTAATGTATCTGTTGAGTTGTTTCAGATGTATCATAAGTAGAGACAGGATTTTTATGTTTTTACATATTTTTACTGAGAGTTTGCAGCTTCAATTGGATAAGCTTTCTCGACGATTCATTTACCTATGAACTAATATACAAATTTTTTTAGAGCATAAAAAAGAATATTTCGAGGTTAAAGAATATTTTCTGCAAAAAACATATTTTAGGGAATATTTTGGCATTTTGGGGTTTAATTTTAATATTTTTATAATTTAATGGCTTATAAAAAAAATGTAAAAATATTTTTATTATTTTATATTTATCAATTATCATGACGAAATCACAGAATAACTGTGACGAAATATTGACGCAAAGCAATATTGATATAAGAACTTAGAAAAATATTTTTGAGGGAATGACATATCGATTTGTCTAAATATTGTCTCAAAACAATTTAAACATCTTTGAAATGTACAAAAATGTTTTGTTTATTTTGAAAGTCGAATACAAAGTCAAATAACAATAAAATATAAAATTGATGTCATTCTCTCAAAAATATTATTCTCTATCTTTTTTTTAATGGGTAATTTTACTCTAAAATTACTTAAAAACAGAAAAAATGTTTCTGCGTAAATGCATTTTGTCTATGTTACGCGTGGGCCAGAGAGAAAAAACAATAGTGCGCTAACCCTGACATCCTCTTAACAAATTCATTATTAATTGTAATAATTATTGTTAGGTGTACTAACTACTTATGTACTTGTGTACTAAATTTCAAGTTTGGGCGAGAGTTTAAGTATATCGTGCATGTTTTTATTTTTATTATTTATAACATGTTATTATTATTGTTATATTTTTGCATATTAAAGATTATTTTGATGAAATTATAGAGCATAGAAACATCTTATTTTTAGGTTTTTAAGAGCATATAAATTCGGTCTCTAATCATAAGTAATACATTATATGCATTTTAATACTATATACAGAACTTACACGATTTGAGTTATGAATGTTTGAATGTGATTGTTGTAACAAGTAAGTGGCATATTGAGTTTAACTTGGTTTTAATCTTTGTAGATACATTTTACCTAGAAATAATACACTGTTGTATAACATAAAATTTACAGAATACGCAAGCAGGTTAGTGGCCAAAATGTATGAACGACTTATAAAAGTTTGAGGTGAACTATTTAAATTTCAATCAGTGTCAATCAGTGTATTATTTATGTTTTTATATATTTAAATATTTAATTATTTGTATACTTATATTATATTTATATACTTTTCAATATTACTTAGTGTTGTACATAATAATTATTATATATTCTCTAATTGTACTTCAATCTATACATTATTGGTTAAGACTATAATATTTATAAATGTTATTACATGGGTACCTATATAATCTTGGCTCGAAAAACAGAGAACTTATTGATAATTATTGATATGTATATTGTATGTAAGTACCTCCCCTTATGGGTTGACTGCTTGTAAGTCATCAATAAGTAGACAGAACCAAGCTTGTAGGTAAAAAAAGTACTTATTCAATAATTATTATAAATATAAAAATAATTAATATTTAAATTTACATAATCAACTCATTTTTTATTGGTTATAATGTTGTTGTGATTACGATTATCATTTTAGTAGCCTCTCAAAATACACACAAAATGTTATTTTTAGATATGTAGATATTAATAGAAAAATAATAAAAATTTACAACAAATAATTGATAATCATTCATCACTGATTAACATTTGTGTTTTAATTTAACTGTGCTGTACTTGATTCAAATTGGTGTTTTAATTGAACTGTGCTGTATTTAATTCAAATTGTTAATTATTATTATATGAGAATAATGGACCACGAAGGAATTCATTACAATTGTACCAAGACTACTCCTGAAGGCAAACGGTAAGACATTTTAAATTCACATTACATTGATAAAATTTAGTATCACAATTTAATTAGTAATTAAAACATTAATTTATTAATATTTGCAGTTATTACATATGTGCTACTCCAAACGTATATTGCAAAGGCACAGCAATTAAGTTACAAAATGGTACAGTTATAATAAAAAAGTCACATAACCATGAAGGAAATGATATTGGTTCCGTTAACACTGATCTAAAAAAACAATTTAGAAGTGTTCTGGTAGAAAGAGCAAAATTGGAAACCAAGCCACTGAAATCCATCTATGATGAAGAATCAATTCGGTATAATTATTTAAATTTTTAGTTGTATTAATTAACATGATTTACAATGGATATTTTATTAACAATTTTGGATAGGAACTATGAAAGCATATTTTGTTAGATTTTAGTAGATTCAAATTGTTTCTGGGTTGATAAAATAGATTGAAGCTTATTTAATCTAAAATACAGTTTACTATTAAAATACTACTTTAGGAACCCAAATGCAGCTGTACTTTATGCATGGCCCACTGCAGAATCATCAATGCGTCAAGCTCGTAGACAACATGTACCACCTTTGCCATCTACTTTACGTGAGCTAGGAGAATATTTAGATCTAAATATTAACAAGTAATATTAAAGATTTATTTAATTAATAGCATATAATTCAATTCATAATTACTGTTTTTGTTTGGTGAATATAATAAATATGGCAAACAGATATCAGTGTAGCAATCAGCCACTTTACCAGGAATGGATTGTGGATAGTGATGGTAAATTCAATGTCATGTTTGCTTGCCATGACCTCATAAACTCTGTAGTTCATGAGGGTGGTACAGAGTTGCACGCCGATGGAACCTTCAAAACTGTGCCATCTAATCCGCATTGTAGGCAACTTTTCATCATACATCTGATTTTACAAAATCACGTGAGTAAATAATATATATTTTAAAAAAATTTGAATAAATAATTACTACATTTTTCAACCTAATCCATCCCTGTTTGCTTTGTATTGATGGAAGCTAAGACTGAGGCTTCATACAAGAAGGTGTTGGAGCGATTTAAGGTGAAATTCCCTTCTGTAAGACCAATTACAATCACGATCGATTTTGAGACAGGCCTCCGGAATGCTTTTACTGTAGTTTATCCAGAAGCAAATATATTTTCTTGTTGGTTCCATTATGTACAGGTTTGAATTTTATTGCAGTTACACACACATTTTTTAACACTGCAAATTATATAAATTGGTTGCTTAGATAACAAAAGTTAATTAAAAAATTGAATGTTTATAAATATTTGTAGAGTCTACAGAAGAATATTAAAAAGTTGGGTTACACACGTTATTTAAAAGTGAACATGGCAGCAAAAATGTGTGTGAAAATGACAGCGGCTTTAGCACTATTACCAGCACATCAAATAGAAACGGGTTTTGAAGATATAAAGATGTATGCTCAAGATAATAATGTTCAGCTTCCAAGGTTTTTTACATATTTTTCTAGGTAAAATACGATAAATACATTTTTGAAAAATGATAAAATGAAGAATAAAATATATTATTCTTAGTATTATTTTTAAATTTAAATAGCTTTTGGATTATGAGGAAGGGACCAGAATATTTTACTGTACATGGCCAACCACGCCGTACAAACAACAACGTGGAAAGTTTTCATTCGTCCCTAAAACAAACTTTTCAGGTACTGCATCCAAACCTGTGGACTTTTCTAGGTTAGTAATAAGTTATGTAATTAAATTTTAAAACTTGGTAATTATAGTATTTTAGTATTTTACATTCAATTTTATCATTATTAATCAGTTTTTATTAAATTATTAGGTACTATGTGTTTTTTTTTTATGTTAAATCACTAATAAAAATGTTTTGGTCATATAGAACATCTGAATAACATAATTACCAAGCAGCACACCATTGTAGGACAACTGGCTAGGGGTGTGCCAACAACAAGGTCCACTAAATTTAAATATATTTTAAATACAGTGAGAATAAAAAATTCCACAGCGCTTTTAACGACTGGTGCAATAACTGTAAAAGAGTTCCTCATTCAATGCTCTCATGCCGCAGACTCTTATTTGGAACGAGAATTGAACTGGGAAAATGAAGCTCAAAGTATGTACCTATAGATAACAGTTTTAAAATATAAAGGGTTAGAAAGGAGGTAGACATTTTACTATATCAATCCTGAATATATTTGTACTATATCATAGGATTATAGTTATAAATGTGTATAGTTATTTTTTATATAATAAAAAAATACTCTTAAAAATAGTGGGCATTGAGTGCACTTGCCCTAGATCCCAAATTAAGTCCCCAATAGAATTATGTATGTAATTATGAAATAACATTAGAGTTGAGAATTACTTAAACTAATAATTTTATTTTGTATTATGCAAAATGTAATTAATGAAGGGATCATATTACTTGTTTTTAAATTTAAATTTTCAATATTCATAGCCCCGAGACCCTCAACGCCCTGCCCATATATATGTATATAAGAATGTATGTATGTATGTATTGATAAACATTTTATGTAACAATGTAACTCAAAAAAGAATATGAAAAAAAAAATTATGTTTAAATGTACATATTAAGGTCATAGTGGTTCTAGTTACCATTAATAAATCGTTGATGTTTGATTAAATAATATTAAATTATAATATATTATTAGGCTCTGATGAAGAAGTACCAATTATGTATCCACGACAAAATGCCATCCTAGTTGTGGAAGATAACCCAGCCATTGAAAATGCTGTAAACATCATTGAGCCACCCATTGCTGGAAATAATGTAATTCCAGTTGAACAAATTATTCAGGAACCAGAAGTCGATATTGTAGAAGGTAATATCTATAAAATAGACTTAAAATAATATTTTTCATTTATTATTATTTTAAATTTAATTGTTTAAATGTGTATAATATATTGTCAGTGATAAAGCAATAGGTACCACAATATAATTATATAAAACACAAAATTATAAGTCCAAAAAGTAAAATGTTCAGAAGAGACTTATTAAGTAGCTGCCTATAAAAATATAGACACAAAAAATCTATGAAAAAAAAAAAAAAAAATGTTTTTAATTTTGTAATTATCGTATAAATTATTATTATGAGTAATTATTCATTACTAGATTATGATGAAAGGGACTTCATCATCCCTGAAGATCAGGAAATGAGCATCTGGCAACAATTGTTTATGGATGACTCTGAAGAGGATGAAGTTACATTTGTACAAGTTCCTGAAAATCTGCATGAACTCTATCCCCCAAATGAAGATGAAGAAAATATTTGTACTGTGTGCAGAGTGGCTCCGAGGACACATGCCCTTGTGCCTTGCGGGCATAGAGTATTGTGTGTGGATTGCATAACACATATAGAAGCACAACGTTGCCCACTTTGTAATAATAATTTTGTAATGGCATTACGTATTTGGTAATTTGCTTCTGTTATAAAGATTACTAATTTAAATAAAACTATGAAATAAACAAATCACAAAAATTGAATTTCATACAACATACAATATAATATAATACCTATATTCCTATATAATATATTATAGGTATAGGTATTATACATAATAATTATGTATAATATGTCTTCGAGCCTTACTAATATATTTATATATCTATGTAACATATTTTTTAATTTACCAGCTAAAATATTATGTTAATTTTAGTATAATACAATACATACCTTACTCCTATTCCTCAATGGGGCCAATACTTAAAACAATACAAGAACCTACCTATACTACCACTAATAACAAAATATTTTTTAAAAAGATCATAATATGTTGAGTAAATACTTTACACAATATAGGTGCCACCTTATTTAGTAGGTATCAACTTAACGTAGGCAGTTGTTTTATAGGTATATTATGTTTTTTATACGGTGGAACATTACTATTTATTAAAGACACTCATTTGAAAAATATAAATTTAAAAACATTAGTTACTCCAGATAAATCTGATATAAGACTTAATAAAATGTCATAATTTAAAATTACCTGCAGGTGCAATGGCTTGTAGTATTCTTGATGTAGTGATGTTTAATATTTCTTCCCACCTGAGGTTAGGTTGTGGGCTACCTCTATAGTAGCTATTCCCACTGAGAAGTAATTTATATGCCGGTATCATTGATTATAATCAATAGTAGGTATCTATTGCTATTTTAGAATATGTTCAGATTAAAATATTAATGGTAAATAATGGGCCCACAGATTGAATTTGCACTGGGGCCCATNGCTACGTCACTCTGTCCATATTATGCGAGAATGCGCGCCAAAATTTAAATTAATATATTATTATAGTAGGTTCACAATATGATTATGACTGTCAAATAGTAATAATCTTTCTAGGAAAATTTTCTCATAAATATTTTAACTTAATATATATGTATTTATTATATTAATTACTTATGAGTTATGTATTTAATATAATGTGATTTTTGTAAAAAACGTTATCTTATTGTGTATAATATAATATGTGATTATAGCCATGAAAATATTCTGTTTTCTATGTTGAATGATGATAAGATTATAACAGATGTAAACACTATTAATGATAATGACAAACGTCAAACACTTTTACACTTCGTAGTTCGTACTTACCTTAAAAATTAAAATTAATTACTTAAAGACTTTGCCACTTAACCATTACCTACCAGTTTCCTCACATTTGAAATACATAATATATCATATCTGATATCATAAATAATTGATAATGTTGACTATTGTTGAGTAGTCAATTAATGAAAATCCAAATCTAAACATGTATGTACAGGTAATTAATTTTATATTTAGTAGTTTAATAATATTAGTTTCATGTTATTGAAGCTATTAGTAACTATACAATAAATTTTTTTAAATATGCCTTGTCTTTTAGGTTTTTGGATTGGTTATGTTCAATAGCTTTATTGAGCCGATTGATTCTCATGAATGTCCGGGTACGTACCAAACAATGCACTACTTCAGCTGGTATTTCAATACTATACCCTGCAACTGTATCCATCACTATATCAGTTAGTGTTTGCATGATACCTGGATTATGATTAACATGATTTCCATGTAGTTTGTGAAATTCCATGTCCATTATTTTAGCAACTTTAAAAAACAATTTTGTTGGCTTAACTAAATTTCCCATTGATTTATATTCTGTCCAACTGCAATTAAGTTCATTGTTAGTAAGAGGTGTTGCAATTTCTCCTAATTGTGGATATTTTCCAATGAATCTTTTTGCCACATAACCAACAACATATTCAAATGCTTCATCATCAACAGATTTTTCCTTGGCCTAACACAATAATTATAATACGTAGTAGATATATAATGATGTATTATTATGATAGGTATATAATATGTTGTAAAATGTGTATAATTACTTGCAGTTCAAAATCTAGTAAAATATTGAATTGATCTTTAGGTATCTCAACACTACAACTACCAAAGTCTGAGTCTATCATTGCCAACTCTAAACTGCTGTTATTTTGAACATCTCTTGAGCCATTATGTATTTTTGAATTTTTAATCGTTATTCCAGTTAAACACTCTGTATCAACTATACATTCTTCAGATGCATCTTCCGTGTTCCGGTTTTCAGAAAAAACAAAATTTGAATGTTTACCCAATACATACCTTTTTAAACTAGTGAGAATAATACACAAAAAAAAAATATTATTTATAATTTATTATTATTATATCAGTGTACTTAAATAATATATTTACCAGTGCATAAAATCAAGGGGGCTTAAATGAGTATTACTACCAGTCATTCCTTTCAAGTAACTGAAAAGATTTTCCAGTACATCGTGGTTAAGCTTTCGGGTCATTATGTATTTTATTTTTGGGTAATTCAATTGCAGGTCAGTAAATAGATTAACTAAAGATTGATTAGTAATCAAAATTCCTAAACAAAATACAATATTTATTATTTTTAGTACCATCTTGTTCACACAATTCACCATATCAATGTACCTTTCTGGAATGGTAACATTGATGTACTACCGTGTACTCTCATATTTTTTATAAATATGTTCATATCATCAAGTAATTTATTTTGTGATGTCAAGTCCATTCCATAACTACTCACAAACTTATCTACCGGCTGCTGTGTGTTCATTAAGTCAAACCAATTATTAAATAATAATATGACATCAGAAGCCTAATATAAATATTAAAGTAAGTTACACATGCTAAAATTGAAAAGTTATTCATAATTTAAATAAATACTTCTTTCCAGTTTGTACATTTAAGTAAGTTTTTCTGTTCACAAAAAGAAATTGCTTGAGCCAGACTATTTGAAAATAACTGAGCGGCCATTTTGACACTTTGTATTTTTCTCTGTGGGACGTTTATATGATCATCAGTTATTTTATATGCCAACATATGATCATCATTATTAAGATTTAGAATTTCTTGTACTACTTGTTTACCGATGTATTTCTGTTCAGGTAATATAAAACCCCTAAAAATAAAATATATAAATATTATATAATATTATGCTAAATGATTTTTACTGGTCTTGAATGGCATATGTAATGTATTTAATTTTATGTTTTACTTTTTAACAAAATGATTTCTTGCTAATTTAATTAGGTGAGGCACATCTGCGAAAACATGAATCTTTTTGTTTAAAGAAGAGANAATAGTAGGTATCTATTGCTATTTTAGAATATGTTCAGATTAAAATATTAATGGTAAATAATGGGCCCACAGATTGAATTTGCACTGGGGCCCATCTAATTCTAGCTACGGCACTGTACGACGTACGTTTGTTAGGTTTTAATATATGTTTATATTTTATATATGTCTATGGTTTTAACTAAAAATGTTCATCATAATCATATTATAAATACCAGGAATTACCTCTTAGATAAATATTTTAGATAATAATTAAATTTAGCCTGAAGTATTATAACCGGTTTATCGCATATCAGGTAATTATAAATAAGTAGTTACATAATGAGAATTATTAAAGTAGGTACCTACGACCCATAATTTATTTTAAACTGGTTTTTATTCTAAATTGACGACATTTTTATAAAGATATATTTTTCAATATTTATCCTTTGAAAATTACTGAAAAAGTCCGACATTTTCAAGAAATATTAATAAAAAAAATAATAACTGCCTATTGAATACAGTAAAATGCAATTTTTATTTTAAATAAATAAATAATATTGCCAACTAGTATTATGCATTAATTGTAATGTTTTTCTTTATTTCTTTATTTCTTTATTTATTTTATAATTCAGCGGGTCTAGTCCTATTACAATTTTGGATGTGGTAATAATGACCAATAATGTATAGATTAAAGTACAATTAGAGAATATATAATAATTATTATGTACAACACTAAGTAATATTGAAAAGTATATAAATATAATATAAGTATACAAATAATTAAATATTTAAATATATAAAAACATAAATAATACACTGATTGACGACTAATATTATGTTTCTTTTAAAAATATAATAGACTTAAATTTAAAAGTATCGCGATAGATAGGTACGTAAGAATAAAATATTAAAACCTATAAAATAATAGGTCAATTCACTCTAATATATTATATTTGAGCTGACAACACAAAATCGGATGTACATTTTGAAGTACTACTTCCCTCAATATGGGTTGTATTGTCTTGAAATCTTCGAGGTTCAATGCAGTGACACCTCTAGATCAAATTTATGTTCTCAAAAAAACCGAGTCTCGTATTTAAGTTTGAGAAATTAGCAAAACAAAATTTCCCGCAAGTTTTTTTTTAAAATAAAATTCAAATTTTGATCACAACATTTACCCCTTGACCCTTAATAATTGAGTTAAAAAAACCTTAAAAAAATTGGAACTGG